GGAGGGCGGGGGGCGGGGGGGGGAACAAGGGTTCGTGTTGAGTGTGGGCTGCTTCGGTTGCGATGGGAATAAGCAAGCACCCACGAACAGCGACTGACTGGGGCACATGGCTGGATATGTGGTACGCTGAAGACAGAACCTACGTGTGTCGATGCCAAACGTTGCCTGGCCGAAACAATCGGAATCCACCAGAGGTTGGACCAGGTGAAGGGGGGGAGCACGGGCAATCAGACAAGTCAGAGCCAGCACAGGGGGTAGGGTCACGGCGTGGGACTGGCGAGGTCTACACGCAGCCTGCTGTAGACCGACCGTAGCCTGTACTGGCATTGGTGTCGAGGAGGCCCACCACGACGTAAAACCTTCAGTCTATTTCCGAAAGGGCTGCATCGGGGTGGGCTAGAGAGCTGAAGGCGTTCCGCCAGGGAGTTCGTTCTACAGCACACACCTCGAATCCGTCATGTGCTGAGTCGAGAAGGTCGAAGGTGAACACGTCGCTGCCACCGTGTCCTGCGCAATCGTCGCCGTGACAGCTGATCACGTGGTTGGCGGACGAGGTGTCCGGCCTGTCCATGTCGTAGATGTTCCTCGTAAGCCGGGCGAACATGAACAGGCGTTCCATCGTCGGGTGCATCGGCCAGGACGTTGGGTTAAGCGAGGAGCCCGCCTGATGCTGGTGGTGGTCGTGGTGGTAGATCGATCGAACGGAACGGAGAAGGGCCACACAACGGAGAAGATTGGCTTCAAGTCATGATGGAAAACAGAAAAGAGAACGTCGACTGCCGTTGGTCTCGTCACTGATGCTGGGTTGCGCTTGGAGTACAAGGAAAGCACCACAACCGCTACCGAAACCATTTCGGAGGTGGAGTTGCTGAACATGCACGCGGAGACTTTCGCCGTACTTGCGCACAACTGCACAGACGACCGGCACAAACGGCAAAGAACAACGTCGACCTGCTCGTGCACGACAAACACAAGACAGAAAAAGCAGTATATAGCGACAAGGTGCCGGGAAATACCCACACAGCAGCAGCAGCGGCAACAGCAGCTTGGCAGCACTTTCCGGTTATAGCATCACCAAGCCGGACGTCTGTTCCTCTTCATTGGTCAGCCGGCTACGCACGGTGGACGCTACAGGCAGCAGCAACATACCGGGCAACGATGCGAGACATGTTCCTCAAAACACCACACACACAGACACACACCTGCAGGTGGTCGCCGTCGTGGATGGTCGAGGTGCACACCTCCGCGACCACCATGCGCTTGGTCTCGTCGTCGTAATCGCTGATAACGTCGTCGAAGTCGATGGTGAGTTGTAGTAGATGGTCTGCCAGTCATCCGAGTTGCTGCTGAGGTCGAAGCCCAGGCAGCCGCACATCCCCTCGGAGAAGACATCGTCCTCCGTCGCGCCCGCCACCGCTGTGCCCTCGCAGTTGAAGAAGCCGTCCAGCCAGAAGTCCTTGCGCTGGTCGAACGCGTACAGCGCGAGCGAGTTGGCGTTGTCCTCCCCGATGAGGCTGCTCACGGAGGCCATGGTCTCCTCGCAGTTCAGCACCCCCCGATCCAGGTGTGCACGGGCCCGTGGGGCGCGTACATGCTCGTCCACACCCACGAGTAGAAGTCCGAGTACTCGGTGGCCATCCAGTAGTGGAGCTCGCAGGTCGGCAACTCGTAGACCTGCGTCACGTCGTACGTGTTGCAGAGCGTGCCCATCCCGCGAGTCAGGTACCTGTGTTTTTTGTTTTTTAGTACACATCGAGAGGGAGAGAGGGAAGGCGTCGAGTGCGTTGATCTAGCGGTTCGCCCACGCTATACTACGGTACGTACCACGGAAAAACACAACAGCAATCAACGACAAAATCGTGGAGGAACAATGGCCCGCCGCATAATACCGCAGCGCCTGTATGCAGAACTACTTTGGGCTACCGCCGCCAGCCAGCTCGCCCGTGCGGTGGTTTGTGGTGCTGCTATCATTCCAAAGGGAAAGTCTTCTTGGAGCGTTTCATGACTCACGGCGACGAGTTGACGTTCCAGTGGGACCACAGGAGGCCATACATGTCCGAGTTCAAGTCTCCCGGATTGCCGGAGTACTCCCGGTGGATCTCCGTGTATGCCCACCTCACATCTTTCACCTGCACAAGTGGCACCATCGCGGTACGATCGGCGGGGGCAAAGCAGTCGTTTCAGTGTTTGCTTCCGACTAAAGTATCTACAAACCATTTTTTCGGGATATGCTCGCCGGGGAGAACACGTAGTCGACATCGGCGGATCAGGTCGTGTTCATGCTGATGCATGTATTCAAGCGCCGCGGCCATAACCGGCGAAAATATACCGGGAGCGGCATCGCCTGAGCTACTATTCTTAACGAGATGGGAGAAGGGCCTTTGCAGTCATCGTTGCCGGCAGCACGCTAAGCGGCAAGATACAGCAGTGCACTCTTTGACCACGTCTACGGAGTGTACGGACAACATTGCACCATCGACAGCAAAACGGCTTGCGATGATGCTGAGAGCGGCGCCGGACATCGGTAAAATGTTTTGCTTTGCTTTGCTTTGCGTTGCAGCAGCAGCAGCAGCAACGACAAGAACAAACAAACTCACGATGTTGTCATCGGGATCGGCCGAGCCGAACCACGACTCCTGGAAGAGCGGTGGGACGGTCTTGAGGTCGTCGTCGTCGAAAGAGATCTCCGCCTCGGTGTCCTCGATGGTGAAGTCCCAGTAGGGCAGGCTCAGCTTGGGGTTTACTAGCTGAAAGCTGTACTCGAACGTGTTGGAGATCAGGAAGTGGCTGGTCAAGAAGCCGAGACCGTCGTGGAACTGCGGCAACTTAGAAAGTGTACCAGAGGAGGCGGAAGAACAAAGCAATCGGCAGATGACATCAATATGGGAGAGCTCGCGGCGAGCTTTTCGAGGGTTGACACGGCAAGGGAGAATTAATTTTCGGGTGACGCGTAGTTGGGAAACAGCGTAGTTGTTGATTCCTGACGGAAGGGTTTCAAAGCGCGCTGAGAACAAGGTTTGCCAAGGCACCGGAACCCGGCTGAACATTCTGAAAGCAACCTGACATCATGAACAGGATGACATGAAAATGAACAACACGTTCCTCTTCGACATTAAACCGCATCAGGGATAAAAAAAATGAAGTGCACCCATCATCCCTCGCGACCGCCGTACTAGGGGACTCAAACGAAGAGTATTTTCTAGTCACCTATGTTACAGCAAGCAGACGATGGAACTCACGCGGTCGCAGGTCTGGCTCATCGCTGCCTTAGAGTGCAGACGTAGGATGGCGTAGATGTCGGCGTAGTCGTCCCCGTACAGTTCTTTTCCCTTCCCGGTGTCCACTCGCACGTCTCGAAGCGTATACATCTGGAGGCCGGTCACGCCGGCAATCAGAGCAAAATCGTCGTATGTCAGAATCTCGCAAAAACAAAAAAAAAATCCAGGTCGTCAGCGGAATTGGACGATGAGAAGGAGTTAAGAGCCAACATACTTGCAACATGTAGTGGGGCCATGCATCGGCAGAAGGGAAGGAAAGTTAAAACAACGACAGGTGTGAACATAGTAGGGGTGTTCACGGAACGTTTTTTTCCATGGAGCGGAGCGGTTTACGCTCCGCTGCGTGAGATTTTCCCTTGAGAATAACCGCTCTGCTCCGTGAGATTTTGCCCGAGGAAAAAATTCTTCGCTCCGTGACGCGTCCCAACAATCCGCAAGTGTTTTTCTTACGGAGCACTTTGAGCTACTCCGTTACATACTGCACAGTTAAAACCGCAGTACAGTCACAGTTTGTCCACGGAGTCACGGTGGTTATTGCACTGCAAGGATGTCATATATAGTCTATGCATACGTGTGCATGTCGAGATGGTCATTCTCCTCAGGTCTAACCCCGATCTTATTCCGGAGATCAATATTTTGAATCACGAGTTGGGGAAGCTGATTGGCAGCTCAGTCTGTGGGGCAGGCTGAAGCTGAATATTTTTGTCCAAGCTGCGTGTGTGTGCGGGAGGGCAAGTGGTTGTCGAGGTCGACTGAGAGCAACATACATATTTGGTTGAATACACGAGATGCAAACAACGTACAGATGATGGATTTTCAACAAGAGGCAAGTACGTGAGGAATCAAAGAATAACCGTTGCTCACGCACGCAGCGCACACACAACACGCACCGATTCGGGGCCATAGAACCCTACCAGCTGTACCCCTACCGCGCCATCAGTAGGGGCACACCATGCCTTGCGTTGCGGGCAGAATGTGCCGGATGCCAGGCTCCACGCCAAACCCTCCGACGGGTCTCATTACATGCGTGTTTGAGGTTGTTTGTTGTGCGTTGTGTCGAACCTGATAATAACCTGATGATAACACCACATCTATCTACTACTACGTGGAAACACCAGCCCACACATGTAGTTCGATGTTTTCTTGTTTGGATTCTCCCATGTCATATTCTTGGGGGGTGCATGTAACGTAGGCGGGATCAGGTCAGAAAAATTGGAGTATGCAATATGTTGCTTAAAATATTTATGAGTGTGTTCAGATTTTCTTGGTTTTTGGGTTTGTTTTTCTTGACGTTTGCGTTACGATATATCTTACGGTGTTGTGCGAGTCAAGGGATGGCATCGGGTCAGAATGACAACTTGAGGTTTGTGCACAGATGCTGCTTGCATAAACTGCAGAAGAGTGCAGCAGACCCACAGATAGATAGCGTACATTGAGTGATGAGATACGGCCCATCGAAGCACGCCCCTCTGAATGATGCTCGGCCACGGCATGCTTACCAAACCTCCTGTCACGGCATCCACTTCTCATCTCGTGATGCTTGTGATGAACAATAGAAAGTGGCGTATGATCACGTTTGTTTTTGTGACGACTAATGCGATGATTCCCTGAACTAGAGTGCCGGTACCGGCATATTGTAGCGGAATCCTCAGAACCTGAATAATGCCGGAACCGGCACTAGTTCAGGCCGAATTGATATAGTGCCGGTGGCCTGCCATGATGCCGGTGAACTCAGCTGGATCGCACCGACCGGCATTTTGTACCGGGACCTATACTGCTGCTGTACATCGCTGCTGTGGTTAGTATGTCGTTATATGTCTCGGTCGGGCGGTTCGTGCCAACTTTTGTTTCACGTTCAACTCTCAAAATTGAGCGAGAACAAAAAGTGGGCGTCACGCTGTCTGTGGCAAAATGTGCAGAATGTGCAAAATTTAACCGGATGGACACAAATATCTCGAACGGGTGGCGTAGTCTTTTGTGACATAACGTTTACTTCTCTTCTCAAGTACAACGCATATGAAAAGAGGTTACCGGCAGCGGAGCACGCACGTCTTCAAAGTTCAAGTTTCCATGATCAAATGCTCCCTTTCTCAGGAAACAAAAAACTGATATTTTCCTAAAGAGAGGCAGGTGCCTTGACGGGTCTAGGTCGCGGCTCACACGGTGGATACTGTCAGAATATCAGTGCCGGGACAAGCTAGGCTGATATTTCTCAAAGCTGCCCAATTATTGTGCGCTAAGTAGTTAGAAAAACAATATTAGTCTAGTGCCATCCTTACCGCCACCCTGCCGGCGGACATACATGCACCCCCCCTCAACACACACATACTACCACTTTCTCACCGCATGAAACAGCTCTTCTCGCTCATTGTCCGTTAGAGTTCTGATCTCCCGGCGAACATACTTGACCATCACCAGCTCGTCCAGCTGCCGCATGATCTCCCCGTCGGAGTTGACCTCCTTCAGCGTGATCACGTTGTCGTCGAGAATCGTCAGGGTTATGAGGACCACCGCCCCTCTCGCCGACGCACGCACTTTGGTGTTGTCCGTGTCGCCGCTGCGCACCTCCCAGATGTAGTCGTAGCCGTCTCGGGGCGATGAAACCGACATGGTTGTCTCGCGGTGGGGTTCGATGAGCTTCACATCCTGGAGCCACGGGTAGTCCTGCGCCGGCTTGCCGTCCCGGATGTGGTAGAAGTTGAGCGCCTGGAAGGAAAGCGGGGCCACCTCTTCCACCGTGCCCGTTGTTTCTTCCTGCACCTTCGGTGTCTCGACGATCTTTTCGGGAATGCTCGCGGAGAGAACGGGATGGTCTCATCAGCAATCGTGGTAGTACCTGCCGAAGAGGTAACGATGTCCACCAAACTAGCGCCCGAGTTACTCTGCGTGACCGCCGTTGCACTGATTACGAGCGTTCCAACGCCGGCTAGATTCCGCCATCGCGTCGGGCGCGGCTGCTCCAGCTCCCGATCACTGCAAGTACCCCTGCAAAGTTCCTGTTCACCTTCCGTTACAGAGCCATACCACTGTCGTGATGAAGAAGAGAATGATTAAAACATGGCGAACCGCCGTGACGGGTGATGGGTCTTACAGCAGTGTACTTGTGAGTAGTATTTGTTGCACCAAGCAGAAGCAACCCAAGCACTAAGCCCTGGCCCTCATACACGCCGAAGGCGTGCCTCAGGCAAAGCGCCGTAGCCGAAAATTTTTGAGCTAAGGCAAAAGTTAAGGCACTTGCCTTAGGTGCCTTGTGTTGCCTGAGGCGCGCCTGAAGGCATGCCTCAGACTTGCCTGAGCACCATTTTTGCTTCAGATGCCCTAGTTCATGCCTGATGATGCCTGAGAAGGTGCCTTAGACTTGCCTGAGGGCCAATCCCGCCACACCATATCGTTTGTGCTGTGTTCAACTTCAAATTTAANTTCAAAATGTCTTCCCTAGTCTGTCTATCCTAACGATATCCCTTCCCGCCTTTTCAACCCACCTCCTACGCCCCAGTACCTGAAATTTGGGGGGGGGGTATCGAAACATCCGCGGGGCCCCGGAAGTGTCCCCATATCCCGGAGTTCATGACATAACGGGGTTGTTATTTCGTTGCCTCGCGTGCCTGAGCGGGGAATGGGCACGTCCCAATATCCCCTCTTAGGCAGTCCTCTCCCGAAAACGGGGTCTCAGGCAAATTCTAAGGCATACCTGAGGGGCCAGGGCTTACCAAGCACGCCCTTCGGGAAACACTCTGGCCGTAGGGTGCTGCTGCGTTGTGATGGTTAACTGGGGAGAGCAAGGAGGCCGGGGTGATCAACAAAAGAATGATAGCGTGAAGCGTGATCATCGCTTCACCGCTCTTTATCATCATCATCACGCTTCACGGCTAGCTGTATGTGCTGCGTGCTCAGCAGTCAGGAGCTGGTCAGCAGTGCTGCCTGCGCGTAGCAAAAAAAAAGAAAATACTATGAGCAAAATGAGACCTCCAAAGGAAACGCGCCCCCCCCCCTGGAAACCCTTCAAAGCAGGCGGCGACATCTACTCCAGTGCTCACCGTAAATCAACGTCGAACGAGAGCGAAGCAGGAGCATAGGCGTCCAATCTCCGATAACGGTACGCTGAGTTACTCATGCACTAGGAGTCGGCACGGCTTATTGGTCTGATATTGCAACGTAGCAGTTTATATCCGGAATAGGCTCAGAGTCTACCACCATAAGACTGACACCGACATCAGGTTTACCCAACACCAGACTTCATAACTCTGGCATGATGCAGCCACGTTAGGGTTGTGCCATGTACTCAGCTTACATATGCGCCTATTGCAAAAGGAATGACTTCATTTGGCCCAGAAAGACCTAAGCACCACGAGTTCGAAACATAAATTTGTTGTTGGATCCCGCGGGTGGTGGCAGCAGTAGTCTCGCGTATGTACGGCGGTGGGTGTGCATTTACATGAGGTTGGTACAAAGTCTAAGCACATGATGCACCGAAACCTTTCTTTTTCTTATCTACTAAGCTCACATACCCATTTGCAATAGGAACTACGTGATTTGGTACAGACACAAAGAATGACGAGGTCAAAACTCAAACTAGTTGTTGGATCCCACGGGTGGTGGCCAGCACCCACGGGCACGCGTTTAGACTAGTCTAGTGTGTTAGGTCGCGGGTGCATGAACACCACATGATGAGTTGAGGGGGTGCAGAAACGGGGTTTTGACGCTCGCTCTTTCCCCATACTTTTATCCTACGCAAAGAAAGAAGCCTTCCCGCCAGGGTTGGGTTAGGCATTCTATTGTCAGCAGAAGTGGCCACCATGAAGAGTATTCGTGCGTGCTGTCACGTTCAGGTTTGGTATTGGAGCGGAAATATCGAAGGTCGCAGCAGCCTCCGAAAACAGTCCAAAAAAATCTGCGCCGGAACCAAGCGGCATCCAACATTTGTCACAGCCATGCTCACCGCCACGGACCGTAAACCCCTGAACGAGGGTGTCAGCAGTAGCTAGCATCAGCTACTGCTGCAAACCCGTAGTTTTGGAGATTGGGGTCGGTGGCGGGGAGCATGACGGTAGCACATATTGGATGCCGCTTGGTTCCGGCGCAGATTTCGGGCTTTTTCAGAGGCTGCTGCGACCCTCCATGTTCCAGCTCAAGTAGCAAACCTGAACGTACCAGCACGCACGAGGGCTCTTCATGATGTCCTCTACTGGTGACAATAGAATGCCTAACCAAACCCTCAAAACTGTCCCTGTTTGAGCGCCTTCCGTTCTGGCTCTGTTGACTTGAATTTAGAGTTGTGTGACTCTTGATCTTGAATTCTATGTAGGCCTGTGGAGGTAGCCGCGTGAAATATAAGTTTTGAGCAGCCTCTACTGCCGCCCTGTGCGAGAATCAACGATTTCTGTTTTTCGCTGTACCTTCCTACTGGTCTGGTGTGTCCGTTGCGCAATTTTTGGTGCTCCTGCGTTTGTTTTCAAAGTCAACATCAACATTCATTCGTCTTCTGCATCCTCTTGAATTATAGTCTATATTGGTTGGTTCACGTACTCAGCTCGCATGCCCATCTATTGCGAAAGAAATTCCTTCATTTGGGTGAGAGACACCCAAGCATGACGAGGTCAAACCTCATAATGCCACCGTGGATCCTACGCAGTGTTGGTAATCATCCGCAGGCACGTGCGTGCGCGGTCGGGTTAAAGGTGTAACAGAGGCTTCAACGCGATTGACCAAGGTGATTTACTCATGCTTTAGCGTAACATTGACTGGCTAGGGTTCAATTAGTTTCGGTTCATTTCATGGTTAGTTTCATGGTATCTTAACATTTGAGTCAAGAGGGGGCTGCCAAGGGGGGTCTAATCAAGGCGGAATCTCGCCTTAATACCAACTCAAGGGGGGCTTATCAAGTTGGGACTAGCAAGGAGGGGCTAATCAAGGTGGGACTATCCAATGCATTGACTCACAGATTAGTTGCTCGCTTAGCTGTCTGTGTGGTCAATGTTCCTTCGTTAGAATCGGCCGTATCGATTAAACACGTGAGGGACGGCGCCCTAGAGAGGCCGCGTCACAGATGCAGGTACACCCGGAGAAATACCCTAGCCCTCCTCAAATCATCGCAAGATGGAATGAATCTCAGTGTGTGGCGCCCGTTCATGCTACCGTAACACCCCCCGAGCATATATGAACACAAAATGCTAAGGAGGTAGCAGAACGTGCGCCTCTCCCTCCTCAGATCATAACGCTCCGAGAGCATAGATCTGAAGAGAGAGGATGCCGCCCTTCCCAGGTTAGACCACATAGTGGGTTTGAACCTGTGAAGGATGGATGCCGGTATTACTGTCGACGTCGACGTTAGATTTCTGAAATCATCGACCTCGAATACGACCGTCAGTGCTTTGGCCGTCGTATACCGGACTCCCTGACGGCGACGGTCTTGAACTGAAGGAGATGGTCTTCCACTGACAAAGATGATCTTCCAACTGCCGAAGACGGTCTTGAATTGACATAGATGATCTTCAACTGTCAAAGACTATCTCCAACCGTCAAATCGATCTTCAACTGACGAAGACGATCTTCAACTGTGGAAGACCTTCAACTGACGAAGACGGCCTTCAACTGTCGAAGACGATCTTCAGCTGTCGAAGACGATCTTCAACTGTTGAAGACGATTGTCAACTGTCGACGACGACCTTCAACTGACGAAGAAGACGATCATCCACAACACTGCCGCAACACCCGTTGAAGACGATCTTCAACTGATGAAGGAGACATTGTTGAAACTCCTCATCCGTAGCACTGCCGCTACACCCGCCTCATGGCACCCGAGCAGCTGCCGGCAGTTTACCCTTGACGCGAAGACAATCGTGAACATCCCATGTGCTACTCCTCCATATCACTGCCGAGACACCCCCCAGCTCGTCGCAAGAAACCGACGATCTATCGGCAGTGCACCTCGTGTGGACTCTTGCGCAGCCGATGGTTGAAATCGTATCGGCAGGGTAATGCCTCGCTGTACCTCCCAACTGAGCCTCCGCTACGGGTGAAGCTCGCCCGATCCGCGTGGCTTCAATTTCGCCATCGGTTTTGCCTGCCTCACCCGTAACGCCTCCAGCACTTCGATGGTTTTTCTTCTCGTCTCCTCCATGGTTCACTCCAACGGTTTGGCCGTGCCTGGCAGAGCTCCGACAGCATCTCCTGCAATACCGACCCTATCCTCTCAACAGCCTCCCGTCCCCGAGGGTAGTTGATAGGTCCCAAAGTTCAGATATATCTTCAGCTAGCTGCAAGGATGTTCCATGATGATTGCAGTGTTGTCCTTCGTCAGCGTTGACCAGAGGTAGTTGTCCGCAATGGTTATAGTGCTGTCTGAAGGTGCCGTGTGTCAGAGCCAGTACTCCGGAGATAAACGTACGACAGCGCCAATAGTTGCACCTTGCCCCGAGCTGCGTAGCAAGTAGACTTTCCTCTTGAAGGCTGTAGTCCGCCATCTGTCATTCGCCCTTCTCTAACGCTTCCCTAATTGGCATAAACAGCAGTAGGTCCTCTGTCGGGCCGCCTTCAGCTGAGTGCCGTTACGCAAGATAATCTCCCTCCGTTCCAGTTGCTCTGAGTGTTTTCTGCACGCTGGTGGAGCCAGAACTGGATGCTTTTAACACTATCGGCTCCGTTGCCTCCGTCGATGTCGGTGTTGGTGTCGTTTCAGCCTGTGTCGACGCCGATGCTGTTACGGAGGTTGGGGCTTGTGTCGACGTCAATGTTGACGTTGGATGCCGTTGCTGATGTCGGTTCCTATGTCGACGCCAATTTCGTTGCCGATTCCCTCTGTGCCTCCTTCGACACCGACAATGACATCGATGTTGGCCCTTGCGTCGGTCCGGATGGTTTCGTAGACGACGCTCCTTCCTCCTGCGGTGGTGGTCGCTGTGCTTCCTCCTGCTGTCGGCCTCTGTTACACTCCGAGTCTCTGCTTTGTGACTTTGACGCCTGACCGATCAATCCTGTCGACAGCCGCTCGAGAAAATCCTCGTGTCACCGTGGGTGTTGTCACCTCATCCCGCTGCAAGTTGGCCAAATCAACGCCGCTCGTCCTCGCCTTGCAGTGATGGACCTGCGTTGCCTTCATGTGTCACATCCATCCACCGCTTTGGCCTTCCTCGAAACTACAGTAGATGAACCACCTATCCACATGGGTGTCAGAGTGGTTTCTTGCATCTCTAAAGCCGCGTCGCGCAACTTGAGAGTCCGTCTGTATTGGTGTGTCCCCCGACGCTGGAGTTGGTATGGTTGTTTTCCCCGTCATCGGTGTATGTCTGTATCGGCGCCGTTGCTGTCGTTGAGGTTAACACCATGTCTTGGTTGATGCCGACGCTTGTGACGGGGTAGAAGACTCGGTTGGCGTCGTCCTGTGTGGCGACTCTGACATCCTCTAAGACGGTTCTCCTTCCTTCCTTGACCGTGGGTGTAGATCTGCCGCTGATTGTCGCGCTCTGCGAGAAGCGCTCCGGGTCTCCTCTGGTGTGGTTTTGAATCGTGAGCTGTCAGCTCTGTTGGCACTCGCCCGAGTGACTCCTCTGGTTACCGCGACTATCGTTGTCTCTTCCTGGCGTAAACTAGTCAGATCCATGACAAGTTCCTCCTCGTGGTGTCCATCAAGCCTATCCTCGGAGCTGCACAAGAGTGAGAACCTCCATCAGCATCGGTGCTAAGGTGCTCTCCTGCAACACCAGAGCTGCATCACACCGCCGGAGCGTCGGTGGGATGTCGAACGTGTCCCGGAGCGTGGTGGATTTCACATGGTCCTTCCAGCACAGTTCTTGGGCTTCTTCGAGAGAATCTGCATCCCACGGATGTGCTGTGAAGTCTCCTGCAACGGGCTTGCGACCCATCATGTGTTCCCGTGTGATCGTTACCACCGGTCCCTAGACGAGGGGATCTCCCGGGCTTGATGCCCTCGTTTCAAGAAGAAACACCCTTGCCGTCCCAAGAAGGCACCCACAGTCGGTGTTGCGGGTGCCGGTCTCTCCAAGTTCTTCTTCCATGTAGAGAGTTTGGTCTGGTGTATATCGTCTCCACTCTTCTTGACAGCAACCACAAACACTCACCGTTTTGCGGTGGGGACTCCTTTGAGCGTTGCGGACACCGACGCCGTTGGTATCTCACAGCCCGCCAGTTGAAGTTCGGGCTGCAGGTTGTTGGTCCAGTTTGTCGTTCCCGCGAATCCCACCGGGCCTTCCATCACCAGGACTTGGGCTCTGGATGAGACGAAAGGCTGTACGATGGCGTCTGCCGTTAGCGATGTTGGCCCGTCCAAACTTGGGTCGTCTGTGCCTCCACACGCGTTGGCCAACAGGACTTCTGGCTTGCATGCTCCGAGGATTTCTCTATGCTCTTGTTGGTCGAGCGATCGGCGAATCAACGGTCGAAAGAAGTGGTCCAGCATTAACTCTGATTCACTCAAACGTCTTCCAACCTGAGTCGATGACACAAGCCACATCGTACTCCGGAGGCTGTCCGTAGTGCTCCTCCAGCTCCATGACTAAGAATGACCGCCCACGGTTTTTTATGTGTGAAAAGCAGCTGTGTTTGCTCATACGCCGGTACGTACTCCTCATCTCCTGACGTTAGACGCTCGGCGTCAACTACATCGAGTAACATACCGCAATGTTCTCCTCCGCCAGGTCTTCGATCTCAGTAGGTCCTAGATCAGCTAGACAGATCCCGTCCAGCTTGATATCCTCAGGGTTCCTGTTGAGCATCGTTACATCTAGCGGTGCCTCATTCCTCTCCTTGTCCTCCGGCTCCTGTGAGTGTGCCATGTTTTGAACAGGTACGCCGTCGAACACCGGTCCTTCAGGTCTTTTCCTGGATTTGTTCGAGCTTCATCACCTGGAAATGTGGTGTCGACGTCTGGTTCGCTAGGCCATCTCCGCTCCTGCTTAATCCCGGCTACCTTCGGTGTCCTTCGTTCTCGTGTTTCCGTAGTCTGTCCTGTCTTTGCTGAGCTCGTATCAATTTTGGATGTTCACTTTCCTGTCGATGTTCTAGGTCCGGCTCCACTTCGTCACAATTCATCTCCACTGCCCTGCGGTTTTGCGTTGTCTCCGGGATGACTTCAGGAGCAATTGATTTGTTGAGGTGAGCTCTACCATTGAACACCCTCAGCGATAGTCAGCTTGGCACCGCCCTCAAGATCAAAGCGCGGTGTCGGGAAGATCCTGTTTCGGCATATGGCAGTGGGTCCATGACACGTGCATCTATCTCAACACTAACACTGCCGAGCACCTGGAGCTCTGGTTTGACGAAGATCGGCCGTGTAGAGTCCCTTCGTCTTCCCACACCGTAGGCCCCAAATGTCGAGCCTTCTTTGCGTACAAAGTCGGCGGTGAAGCATCCTCCTCCTCCTGCTCCTCGTCCTGTCCGTGCCAAGATGGAGGCTTCCCTCTCGCAGGCCCCATCCGTGCGGGCAAAGATGAAGACTTCTTCGCAGAGGTTCCATCCATGGAAGAAGTGGTACTCTCGACGATGTGACGGCGGCCGAAATCCCGAGCCAGGACCTCCGCCTTCCGTGTAAACCATGTCCCTTTCAACACTGCCTCCTTTCCACTCCTTGGATAAACGCAGCGGACGCATAGGTGCCTCTCCCCAGCCCAGAGTCATTCAAAACGTGCACGGTTTGACTTCGTGGAAGTGTTCGCATACTACAGAGTGCGATGAACATCACGTGTGTCCCCCAGGAGAGTCTCTCCCAGGCCTCACTACTCCGTGGTCGCCTCCTCCGCGTACTCTTGTAGGAATTGGTCCACCTCAGTGGTGGTGAGTTCCCTCTCTGCTGTCTTCTTCTTGTCCTTCATTCCCCACAGCACGTGCTCGTGACTGCAGATTACAAACAGGTCTTGGGGGCCATGATTCAACGCTTGGTGGCGTCTTCCGAAGCGTTCGGCCTCCGCGCATCCTTCGGATATTTCCTCCTACGCCATGACACTGCTTCCTATTGTCACTGCTCCCGTTTCCCGTCGTCACTCCCACAAAGAATATGTGTCCTCCCTGTCGCTGAATGCTTCGGCGGTGCTTGTGGTCCAGATGACGAGGTTTGGATGCTCGTTGGGTCTCTTGTCCTTCCCAAGACCGTTCCTCCGGTCTTGGTCTCCCACGGTGAGGTCTCCAAGAGTTCCCCCCCACAGCACGAAGTGCGCACCGTGAATTTCACCTCTCGTTGTTGTCGTGTCATCCACAGCACCAGGAGCCGTTGCTTTGACCACCTCTTTTGAGGGCGCCGGAAACTTGCACAGTTGCCTCCGCCGTCTCCCGTGCCATGGACGATGCGCTTCTTGATGCTTTCCACAGCGTGACGATGACCTGGCTGCTGTTGGTAGTGACTTGCATACTTGCCTCTGCCGTCTCTCGTGCATGGACGATGCGCTTCTTGATGCTTTCCACAACATGACGATGACCTGGCTGCTGTTGGCAGTGATGGCCAATGGCTCCCCCCCCGCACGATGTTGAGGGTGGAGGCGTGACCCTGGGAAAGTTGAGGGAGGACTCCAGATGGGTGGAACCCTTCTGAATAATGAAACAGTTCAAGGAAACTCCCCCGGCTGGTAGAACCCCCCGGGTTGATGCGGAGGGGGTCCTCCTGGCTGATGAAGGAGTAGTTCCCAATGCTGGTGGCGCTGAGGATTTGGCTGGTGAAGAAGCAGTCATCCTTGCTGGTGGTGTTCATGTGATCCGTGTCGTTGACGAGCGGCGACGCCGTCACAACTTGGTGCTCGGGTGCCTCCCATGTGTCGATCTTGGGTTGCCGATGCTTGCCTGTTTTTGTTATGTCTATCCTTTACGGCCGTCTTCCTGTTGGCTTTGCACATCTCTTGGTGGTCGCTTGTCATTGCGTTTGGGTGTGTATTTTTACTGCTGTTTTGGTTTGTATCGCGTAGAGTTCAAGATTCTCCAACATAATGGTGAATGCCCTATTCCATCCGGATCAACACATGTGTGTCACCAGACATTTGAAAACATAGGATGGTAAATATCTGCACTTTCGACCTCGCGATCAAATGTCGCACAACAAGCAAACCAGCCAAATTCCAACAAAAACGATGTTCGTTAGAAAACCACCTAAAAGTATCGAAACGGACGTGGTGCACCAACATGAAAAAATGTACCACGAGGCTGATACATTGATCAACAACAGACGGCCAAAATGTAATCTAGAAAATCTAGAACAACGACGGTGCACAAATTATACCGCAGGACATCCCAATATTGAAAGACTTCATGTATTCTCCTTGTATACTATGATCCATCCGACAAAACATTTTTTGCTACAGGACATTCATTCGTGTCAGAGAAAGAAGAATGAAATTGCAACCTTCCCTAAACCAGGAAACTACAGGGAGATCACGCTGTTGAACACAGTAGGAAAAGTGTTCTGTAAGCTGCTGAACGATAGGTAGGATAGTGGGAGTATTGGAGAAGGAACATGGCATTAGTGAGGGACAGGCAGGTTTCCGAAAGAAGAGGGGGTGCGTAGACCACATATTATTCACGGTAGGGAGAATCATCCAAGGTAGAAAGAGGGCGGGAAAGCCGACGTACTGCTTCTTCCTGGACGTGAAAAAGGCATACGACACCGTATGGAGAAATGGGTTGTGGAAACAACTGTCCAAATACGGGATCAAGGGAAAAATGTGGAGAGTGCTGAAGAAGATGACAGTGTGCACGAAAAGCGCGGTCATGCTAGACGGAGAACTGTCAAAATTCTTCGACATTGAGCAGGGGGTCCCACAAGGTTGCACGCTGTCCCCAACATTGTTCCAGGTGTTCATCAACGATCTGTTGGAAGTCGTAGAGGCAGTCCGGAAGGGAGTAAAAGTAGGGGACACGAAAACTTCGGTTTCAGGAATGCTGTTTGCGGATGATTATGTCGTATGCCGGACACCCCTGAGGGACTGCAACTGCAAATTGACGCGGCGAAGAAGTTTACTGATAAGTGGAGATTGTCTGCCTACGTTAAGAAGAGTGCCGTCATGGTATGCAACGAAAACAAGGAGGAACCAGTAGAACATAGATGGAAGTGGGAGATCGAGGAGATTGCAGTAGTGGACCAGTACACATACCTCGGAGTAGAGATCGCAAAAGACTGCTCGAGGAATGCACACATGTTCAAGGTATCAGAAAAGGGCAAAGAAAGCACGAGCAGGGAAGCTGTTCTTTTTAGACAGGGACAGAAAAAGGGATCGACCCAAACCAATTTTTTTCAGTCAGGGAGAAGGGGGGGGGGGCTGCTGCCGGTTCCTTTGCGACGTCTTTGCCGGTAGAAGCCCCCGCCAACGTAGCTTCTCCTACCGCAGTTTCGTACCCCGCCACTCATTCTTCCCCGCAACCCACGACATCACGTGCAGCACCTGCAGTAGCGTGGAAACGCGCAGAGCTGGATCTCATGGAGGCCGGGTACGGTAGAAGTTGTTGTTTGTTGTTATTTTTCTCCCATCATTGGATTCTGTCGTCTGCCCCTCTGGCCCCTATCCTCCAATTCTACCAGCTAGACGACCCAACCGGGGTCATATAGGAGGGGCGGGTGGACCCCCTCCTGCGGTTCCTGCCTGGGATGTTCTTATCGCGAGAAGGGTACAGCAATCCCTTCCCCTACGACCTATGAAGTCGATCAAGTTTACTAACAACGAAAGCTTTGCAGCGCGTCGCTTCCAACGGAGACCAGGATTTAATTAGCGAGAAAAAACTCAACTCCGTCGGGACTCGAACCCATTACCTGGCCCTCAGCAGGCTGCGAGCCTACCCACTACACCACCGGGGCGACCGGCATTGTACTGTATCTGAAAGTGTAGCAATGCGGGAACCAAGCGGCGTCGACCAAAGCTTCGAGGAAGGACCGGTGGGGCACACAAGGTTCGGTCGTGTCTGATGGTGAGAGCGCTCGCGGGGGTCGGGCGCGGCGTGACGATGGTGGGAGAGCTCGCGGGGGTC